GTAGGTTCATACATCTGTTCAGTTGTTTTTAAGAAGTGCCGGGAACAGGTGTTCGCATTCACCTTCTCCCTCCCCAGTTCCATCTCTGGGATGCGGTCGCCCCATTCCCGCATTTCTCGCGCGACATCCTCGGGAGTTACTCTAAAAGCCTCCATGAGCTCCATGATACCACAGATGCGCTTAAGATACCATTCTTGGCCTTGACATCCCACCGGCAACCGTCTTCGAACGAGCTCATGCTCCAGCCAGAGTGAATACCGTCCGACGCTTTGAGCAAGATGGTCGGCGGAGTTTTTCGCAGGTGCTATGTTGTAACTTAAATGATATACATCATTCTGGTGATCGACTTCGAAGACCTTAGAAGAAGAACGTATCAGAAATATTGAGTTCCCTGTTCCGGTGGCCGAAGTGGATGTGTGCGAGCATGTACCCACCTGATTTATCATGGGTCCCCATTCAAAAAGTAGAGGACCCTCAAAGTTCTTAAGGTAGTCTGCATAGAGGCCGATCCACTTAGATTGCAAATCCTCGATGCTCAACATTTCGAGATCCATGTTCGCCATGTCTTCGTCTAGAACTGCTATAAGCTCACCTTCCTCTTCCAAGATCTCTAAGACGTCTTCAGCTTCCACGTTGTCTTCTCCATGCTCCCACCAAGGTCCCCGTCCTCGGTGGCAACAGACGTGGGTTATTGCGATATCATCCCTGTTCGCTACTAGTTGGCGGATAAAGGCGCAAAGCATCCTCTTGGCTGCATTGTCACCTTGATGCTCCCGAACCAAGAGAGTCAATTCCAACATCCACACAGCCCCGTCAGATAGGACTACCTTGGATCCACTCTTTCCAGGAGTCGTCGCCAACGCTGACGAAATTGAACAGCCTCCAGGGGCACACGAACACTGGCATTCATCCGTCAGAGAAACGTCGGCTCCAAACTCAAAGCATACCCTGATGCATTCCATTATTCTCCATGTGTAGTGAATTGTATACTTTCGTAAATTAGAAACAAGTATCCAAAGTATCGGGCGGTGACATCGATCTTTGTAATTCACGTCTGCGCCGCGGGAAAGGCATAGCTGTAGCAGGTCCCTCTTTGCCTCTCGCGCAAACGTGTGCGTTACTAGTTCCCCTTGACCATTCGGGGAGTCGAATCTATTGTAACCAAGCTCAACGAGGAGCTTGGCTGAAGTAAGGCTCCCGACGTAACGCATGAGATTGCAGTCCTCGACCTTACTGAGTACGCCGTTGAAAGGGAAATTGACATCATGACATTCCCTAACAAGGTAATCGAAGCAGTATTCCCATGAGGCGTCCCGTTCCCGAAAATAATCTCTTTCGCACTTCAGCAGCCCTAGAAATGCTTCTGGTACTAGGTCGGCGAATCTAGTTTGGCCGTAACGCAAGTGTATTTCTCGGAGCGTCTTGACCACAAAATCGGTGTGGTTTCCCTTCAGAGCAATGTGAAGGAAATTTTCATGGGAGTCGTTAGAGTCAAGGTTGACGGTCATCGTCGGATCAGCACCTCGAGAAATGAGGAAAACCGCAGTGGACGTGCAGCCGTATGACGCAGCATACATCAGTGGGGTAATTCCCTGCCTGTCAATGGCATCGATGCTGTGTCCCGCATCTAAAAGAGCCTCACTATTTCCACGTTCCTAATAGCTAAGTGAAGGGGTGTCTGTCCGAGAAAGTTGCGCTGCTCGATAGTGCCAGCTTTCAATTGCGAAATTATGGTGCGAACTTTGTCCGGATTTTCACGGAGACTATGTAGCTTCGTGGAGCGGGTGAAAGTCAAAGCAACCTGAATATGGGGTTAGTTGAAACCGACGAGATCCCTAAGAATGAGAGATACAGACCTGTGTTGTTGCGAGTTAAGGATACAAAGTAATCGATAAAACACAAGTCCCCAGCACGGGACCTATAGAAAAATTGTATCCTGGGCCACTCCTCGAAGCGGGGAGCTTCAATTGAGACTGGATCCAATCCTCCTTCCAGAGCATATTCAACCAATCTCATGTCCATGCGAAATCGGGTAAGCTTCGCGCAATTAGCAAGAAATCTAGCTCTGCATCAGTAGAAGTCCATTCGAGGTTGGCTACTCAAAGACACGCTAACCTAGAATCCTTGCCATTCACGGACATTTTCAACTCGAAGATAAAGAACGACAATACCCGAAGCCGATCGCGATCACTGAGCCAAGACTTATCTAGTATATACTAAAGGAGTTAGCGAACCATTTTCAATGCGGGTAACTAGGCATGAGAATTACATCGAAACAGTCCTGTCCAGAAGGATCAACGTAGCCATTGAAGGTGCCATCAGTCTGGTGAAGTTCTATCAGACTCTCTTTCACCCCATGAAAGGTTTCAATCCTCCGCCGAAGATACCACAGCGCTTCGAACACGGGCGACGTATATTTTACGGTCCGTTGAACCCTTAACGCAGGGCGTATTGATGAGGGTCCTACCTGCCCAATAATTGCGAACGGGATGCCAAATTTCGAAAGTGACAAACGAATCGATAGTCGAGTATCTCGAGATGAGCACCACTCACTGTCGCATCTGCGAAAGAGTATTGACAACGGTACGGACTCAATTCCCCAATATCTCCCAAAGGATCTCCAATTAGTGGCGTTGTGACACGAGCAGCGGCATTCCCCGGTGGGGCATCGTGGCGGCTCAGCCCAGGAGACTCTCTGTAGTAGAGGTTGCTCAAGGGACCTGGGATCATCCGGTCCGACAATCTCGTTCCCGGCGGCGGCTGATGATTCACTAGTCTGTCCTGTGGCACTTGAAGGCCCAGCCTCCAGAACCAGATGAGCAGTGCGCATTTGCAGATTTATGAACGATATATCAAGGTGGAGCTTATCCCGCACGTCCCTCACATTTCGTCGCACCTTATCGATCTCGTCCTTAATCCCTGGCGAATAGGTATACTTAACGCGGTCCCACCTTCTTCCCTCTGCCCCCCTGAGCTTAACAACTAGGGTTCCGATATCTGTGCTGATTGCCGTCAGTCTCGTAGCGTACGAAGCATGGAACACATTGCTTATGGCTTTCTCTGTCCTGATAAAGGCAAGGATGTTATATAATGTGTTGATGTCTCCCACAAGTTGGTCTATAGCCTCGGGTGCCTCCTTTCTGTTGAAATTTCGATTTCTTCGAAGATCATTTGCGTGAACTGCGAGCTGATGCGCAAACGCGACGGCGCCCAAGGCAACTTCGGCCATCGTGTCAGAGGTGCTTCTAGGTGAGTGCAGTTGAAGAGATAACAAGGAAGGGGATGGGGCGACGGCGATGGCGACGGCGAAGCGTCAAGAGGGGTGAGCTGCTGATAATAAGTATGTGTGCCCTATCGCCCAACTTCCCAGTTCGCCTTGCCGTTTTCTGGTGGGGAGAAATGGCACGATTGGCGACGCTTGCATGATCACGACCACTCTCTCCCAATCACACTCTCGTGTAACCAACCTTCCTGCAAAACTAGGTGCCCTCGACACCCTATCAAGAAGGCATTTCCTCGACGGCCCAACACCAGAAAACAGCGAGCCTAAAGTGCACGTCGACGGTACAAGTCTCCTCTCCACCTTTGCTTCTAGTAACCGAAAATAACCGGTAGGGAGCTCATCCTTTTCTGGTCTTATCTTCCCGGAGGATGACCCAAGCCACGACTAGCCACAGGTCACAGTGCAAAGGCGAGACAACCAGGGAAACCCTGCCATTGGACATAGGGAGCTAGGGAGAGAATGTCCACACCTGACAGAAAGGCTCGCGCATGGTCGAGACCTTGACTTTGCTGGAGCCCGTCAATCATGGAGGCGGCCCAAGAAGAGTTTTAGGCCCATTCGATACGTGCGCACCACTCCAAGGGAATGTCAAACAATGCTTTTCCGCACCATCTTCCCACTGCTTCCGTCAGGCAATTTCTTTCTTGGAGTTATGCCTCCTACACTGAGGTAGTGGGGTGTGGATCTTGGCTTCAACGGCACTTGAGCCCAGGCTGCCCTCAATGTACATGTTAACGTGAGGCTCTGATGTCACTAGAGTGCCAGAGACAACAATTTCCACAAAACTGATTAAAAGATATAAAACTTTACATGCCCTAATTGCCCGTCTTGTCTCCTACACGCCTTGTTGAGAATGTTTTGCATACTTGGGCCATTTTCCTTAAAGATCTCTCCAAGCTGGTGCAGGTTAGCATCTCTAAATGCTGTTCTGTAGTACGCAGGCTGCGATGGGGCTGGGTAATCCTTGCTGATGGACGGAGCGCCGCTCAGGATCGTCGTGCAAGGTGGGCAACTGCCCCGGAATTGCGCGGCATTTTCACCAATAAAATCGTCATCTCCAGGCCCATCGTCTCCGTCGCCTACCTGGTGGCATCGCCGGCCCCAGAAAGAAGCGACGGCGTCTTTCGCTTTGAAATAACCCTCTCTGGGTCAAATGGGATAATCCCGAAGCTTCTCTTTGCAATATGTCCTATATCCAAACGCGACCGGAGACGTGGTGGCAATTGGCCTGGGCACGACATCATCGCGATGGTCAATGGGGGTTCGTTGCCAGAGTTGGTGTTGGAGCGCGGCTCTTTACACAGCTTCAGTGCCAGACGGTTGCTTGCGCCCAGCAGCTCTTCCCAGGTGTTCAGATTAGTTTCCGCTTCGTTGTTGTAACAGCACAATACGGTCACCTAGATGTAACAGAGTTGAACAGGTCATGCTGTATTCGTAGGTAGGTCCGTATCGGGACTCTCTATCCTCTATGTAAGGGCCTTCTCTTGGGTGTAGGGTAGTTTCCTCCTGTCGCAGCCATTGACGAAGTATTCAACCTTTTCGTCATATATATTAATCAAAGACTTCCTCCTTATGTGGCTGCCGTTGCACTGGCATACGAAAGCCACTACACCCTCCGGGGCCAAGCGTACATAGGGAACTCTGCAGTCAGATTTTGCCCCCGCCCTCCCAAACTCCCCCTTACCCCCTCTACCCCCAAAGAAAGGACTCGCTTTGGTTATAACCAACTCTCATAAGGATTGCCGCCGCCCAGGAGAAGTGCTTCAAGTGGATCCAACCATAGACTTGGATCTTCCACGGTCTCGAATGCAGTCAAGTCGCCTCCATCCCCGCCCGATTCGCCGGGCCTGTGGCTCTCTCCCGCTTCAACGCCGCCGCGCGCGTTGGCATGTGCCTCGTTGGCAATGACGTCGACCCACTTTTCGATACACGCTTTCCTTTCCTTGAGCTTCCACGATATCAAGTCCAAGAAGTCGTTGGCCCATTCGGAGCAGTGCGCTGCGGCCATTTCCTTCCTTGCTTCTTCGAACCGTGACGCGAGACGGTCCAAGAGGTCTAGCATTAAATCGTTCGAGCTGCCGCCAGCATCGGCGCTCGTGGAAGCGGCACCGTTGTTATTCATGTGCGTCTCGGGAGCATAGGAGTCTCCTTGCCGATAGCGAGTCAGCAGCACGAGCCTAGCTCGTCGAAGAAGGATCACGGTGGCGTTCGTGAGGTGCAGGTATCCTGACATGGGCATGTAAAAGAAATGGCAAACTGGTATGGTCATCCAATCCTCGAACCAAGCCCTCAGTGCAGTATCCGCGGCATCCGTTTTCCTTGTCGAGGGTATGCGAAAGTAGTCCGGCGCGTGCTGTAACGCGGCAACTGCCTCGTGGTTTTGGTTGTGATCCGCATCGAATAGCTGTGACTCCAGAAGTTGCAGCAGCGCAAAATTATGATGGCTGGATACCAAGTCTGTGTGCTACCGTGTTAACTTGGAACATTCTTGGCAAGATACGATGTCTACTAACAGCAGTGGGGTTTCTGTTGACCCTCGGAGCGCCGTAGGCTGCCCAGATCAGCCAAGAGATTGTCGAGGTTGGCAGCGCAGACATTCGAAGACAGCCGAACATCGACTGACTGGTCGCTCTGTTGGAATTGGGCGATCATCTCATTGATGCGCTGGGCATAAACAAGTTGCGCCAGGACCTTATCCGTCTCATACTCGAGTCCGTCCTGCAATTCCTGTAACTGTCGTTCCATGTGTTGAGTAAAATGCCTGGCCGGTGAGTTCACTTTCTTGAATGCTACCGCAAAGCTGGCAGGGCCGCGTCAGCGACCATAGCAGAGGGGTAGGATAGTCCGCGCAGGATAGAGGGCTACAAACCTGGAATTGAGGTACCAGACAGCAAGGATGGCCCGTCTCTCATCATTTGACGTGGCTCTGGGCTCTTCTGGGTCAATCCCTTGAAGACCCTTATTTCTAAACGCCGGCCTGCTTCGTGGCCTATCTAGCCTCATGTCTACAATCATGCTGGAAGCCAGATGTGCGAGGCTGCTGAAGTGCCCATGGGCAAAACAGAAGTAATGAAAGAAACCGAGGAAGACGATGATGCTTTGCAGGAGGTCCAGAGACCTATCGGGGCCCATGAAGAGTGCCTCGGAGATCTGCCGCAACAGCAGCCTGCTTTGATTCCACATGGACCGACGATGTCGCAGCGACGCCACCATCATGATCGCCCTTGCGAGGAATGGTCGGGATCGTTGTAATTCGATCGCGGTGAGACCATCAGAGATGACGACAAACGGAAATTGAGGACTCAGTCGCGTGCGGTAAATCGAGAGCAGAGTTTCGTCAGACTCTGGGGTTCCTGGGTCTGGGTCATCCTTGCTATCCAGTTCCGAGACGCAGGTACAGGTGGGAGTAGGGAATGGATGGAACCCGGGTAACGATGTAGGGGCACTGAAAGCTTCGGTAGGCTCGGTCTTGACCTGCGCGACGTAGGAGTTGGGCTCTGACTCTGCTGCATCATTGCGCGGGCCCTCGCTCGTCGTTGCATTGGTCCTTTCGGTTGGAAAGAGGGTCCCACGGCTCGGGGCGGAGTTGGTGGTGCCGTTGAAACTACCATGCTTGTGTCCCAGCTGCGGAATTGTTGTAGAGTCTGGTAGGGTCCTGAGTACACATAAATCAGTTCAACGCATACTTTAGCTCCGTACCTTATTGATTCCTCACGACTCACGAGGCATCGTGGCGAAGTCTTTTCTTCCTAGGCTTGCGAACCTGCTGGGGGCAGGATAGATTGAGACTCCGGCACCTGTACGCTCTACTGTATTAGAATGTGCCTCCAAAGGTCATGACCCATGAGACTCGGCGAAAGGCCTGATGGAAGGTGTGCAAGATGGACGCATGGGAGACTCACCTGTTGCACTTGGCGTCGTTCGTCTCCTGGGAGCGAATGCACCTTGTCTTTGCCTTGGCGCAGGGGTCACACGCGGAACCCCATCCGGCAGACCACTTCATGTTCCGTCCTGGAGTATGCCGAAAGCACGTCGGAAAGTAACCAAACTCTTGCACGGGGACCGATCCGGAAAGTGAGGCGCGACGAAGAAGGGCAACCGGAAAGTTTTTTGGGGCACTGAAGTATTCTTCCGCACACAGGATGATGGATCATATATGGATGACGCGGTGAGCCCGTGAGAAGAGAGCTGACGACACCATGAGTCCACGACTCATAATTCGTCAGCTCCGAAATTTCCGCGGAGCGTTACATGACCGGAAAGTTGCCAGGGCGCCCCACTTATTTGTGAACATCAATTGATATGTACATATGTATATATGGCCCTGGTGATCCCCTAAATGGCTTGGAAAATGTCATAGAAAATGGATATCAGAGTTTAGTCTTCTTCCACTCCTTCTTTTTTTTCCTTTGGACTGATTGCGTCAAATTTTGGTTGCTTTTCTTATACAGGCCAGTTCCCGCTGCTCATCAGGCAGCCAACTTTGCTTGCTGCATCCGCCAGGTCAAGCAAAGAGGCCCAGCATGGAATCCCGCAGCGTCACCTACGTGTTAGCGACGCTAAGCATGGTTTTGGGTGCATCTGGCCATACGGGCCATGAAATGGCACATCACAGTGGCCAGCCAGAAGCGGCCCAGGAAACCCCAGAGACATATCCAGAAACATACTTTACCTTGGACACCCAACAGCTTGCAATCCGGGCTCATATAAGTTTGATGGTCCTTTCTTGGTTCATAATCCTGCCAATCGGTAAGTCTCCTGGGTTTCCATCTGACTTTAACAGAGTTGCCTCTGACGCATGGCGGGCAGCGACAATGCTATCCCTTGCTAGGTCTCGCTACACACATTTCGTTCGTCTCGGGCTCACAGCAACAAACATCATTGGAGTACTTTCCGGAGTCTCATACAAGCACAGCACACCGGACCTGTATCCGGGGAGTGCGCACTCTGCTGTGGGATGGATTACCACTGGCATCGCCGCTGCGCAGATTAGCCATCTCCTCGTTGGTCCAATGACCAAGCTCTTCAACAGGGTCGCGGGGCGAGACGAGAGTAAAACTGGTGGGTACACGTTGCCTCTGATGCGAGAAAGCTACAACAGCCTGCAAGGTCACGATGGTCCGTCGCGGCTGTCCCGACAAAGCTCCTTCGACGTGGAGGCCACCCATGGCGGCATGGAGGACCGCGACACATCCTCTGATTCGCGGTTGTACCGGGAAGATCCGCACGATTCGGGATCCACAAGTGGAGACGGCGCCTTTTATGGGGAGTCGGACTCGGACCGCGCCCTACACGACGATGCGAGCGCGGCGACTTCGAAGATATTCTCCGAGCCGATTTTGACACGAATGCGGAGACTCATACTCTTAACATATGATGTGATGGACAGGGCAATATTGATCGTGGCATTCGTTGCTTTCTGTACCGGTATCGTCACCTTCTGGGGGCTCTTTGTAAGTCATATTATGCGCCTAGGATAATCCTTGTTCCTAGGACGATCCTTGTTCAGGAAAGCAAATTTAACCGCTGCCCCGCAGAAAGGAAATTCCATTTTCAACGGCATCGCCCATTGGATCAAAGGTGGCATTTTCTTCTGGCTCGGCATCTTCAATCTCGGTCGCTGGTGCGGGTGCTTTGCCGAAATCGGATGGGTGAGCATGAGCATGATAGATTCTCCCCTGGACCCGGACTTCAAGCTGAGAACTTTTGAAACGCTAATACCTCGCATGGCAACGCTAAGGCATGGAATAGTCGACCTGGTACCTCGAAGAGGCAGTTCTGGTTGTCTTTCGAGTTTGTGGAGAGCTCGTTGATCTTTTTCTACGGTTCTACCAACATATTCCTGGAACATCTGGCAGGTTGGGGCAAAGCGTGGACAGCGCGCGATTTGGAGCACGTCGCTATCACCGTTCTGTTCATCGGTGGAGGCCTGGTGAGTTCTGTTTCATCGGCGGTCCACTTTCCCTCTCGACTAATGACGTTTGTTTAGTGCGGTATGCTGGTCGAATACGTCAGAGTCAAAGGCCCTGGTGAGAAAAAGGCAACGCAACAGATGCAGACCATACCTGCTTGGTCGAACGGGATCGCCGATGAGAACACTCAGCACAAGTCAAACGGTATCTCAATAAACCCGCTGCCGGCCCTGGTAATATTCCTTATGGGGGCATCTATGGCGTCTCATGAGCAAGCTTCAATGGTCTCGACAATGGTCCACAAGCAGTGGGGTAACCTCTTGGGCGCGGCTTCTGTCGCCCGTTTGCTTACCTACATGATAATGTATCTAAAGCCCCCGACCTCCTCTACGCCGTCGCGTCCGCCTACGGAGCTTCTTGCGTCATTCTGTTTCATTTCTGGTGGGATTCTCTTCATGGCAAGCGTACGATCTGCCCACAGGTTTCTTCCCGTGAAGCTCATCCGCTGACACACACGGCTTAGTCTACAGATACTATTAACATGATCATACACTTTAGCGTTGACGTTATGGCTCTGTATACTGTCACGATGGGATTCACGGGCATCATCATGGCTTGGATTATAGGTTTGCTCGCTTTCAAAAGTTGGGCATCGAGATGAGGGGCGTTCTTAATATTGTGTGTATTTCTCTCTCCTTTGTGCAGTATAGGCTAGACCATGATTATTTAATTAGACTACCCAATAGAATGCGCAAGGTTTAGAATATTCCTACGGTTTCCATTAGTTCATCGGCAGCACATAGTCTTGTACATAGCTGTGAGCAAACCTAGAACCATGATACATAGGTAGACTGGATGTCAGTAGCGTATGTCATGAAGAGAGTGAGTGAGATCCCACAGTGCTTCCCACGACGCCCACGGGTAGTGGGCTCCTCGTGAATGTAGGGTGTACTCAATCAATGTCAGGGTGTTGAGGTGGCAGAGAAGCTGTCAGTGCAAGTGACGGAGACTCGCAAGACCAAGGTCGGAGTGGATTATCCTGATACGTTGACGAGCAACCCTGGCATTGACATACCGCAGCCGAGATCGATGGGAGGAGGTGGAGTAACCACAACTGCCAAAGAGGTAGGGGATAACCCCCTAGCAAATAGGCGAAGAGGTACGGAATTCATCTGGGGGAACGTTGAGCAGGACAGTTTGGGAGAAAACAGGCTTTACTATACTAAACAGCGACGCGATTGAAGATTGCATTACAGTTGGTGCTTAACTGGTTTGTTTCTATAGGTTGCTATCATTCCTTCCCCCTTCTTTTTTTTTTCAATTTTCAGTTTTCAAATTGCGGCATCATCAACAAAAGCCGGTTCATCTTCTCCAAGTCGCATTGTCAGGACGGCTTCCATGCGTATCCAGTCAGAAAGCGCACCAACGCGCCCACGTATTGGTCGCCTTCCATTCCCAGAATCCCAGGTGTACAGCACAGCCCGCCCACCGTTTAGTGATCGTTATTGTGACCACTCGTTTCACAGAGTCTTGTTCAACCACGCAAAGATGGTGCGTGCCAACTCCTGATGCGCCCCCGACTGGCAATGATACCCGGCAACCCCCATAAACTTATGGAGAGTAGCCTTTTCGCCCAGCGCATCCTTGACCTTCTGCGCCTGACCCTCGAACATAGTGTCAAACTCAGCGTCGCCCACAAAGACAGGCATGTCAATCTGATGAACAACATCCTCGATCGTGTACTGCTTGACAAGGTCGAAAAACTCGGATGGAGAATGAGTCTTGAACACCCAAAGACCGTAATCCAACCCCCAGGTGGCTTGTGTGGGGAGCTCTCCAGCATCGCGCAGAGAGAGAACCTCGTCGTCGAACTGGGTGTAGTTGCCGGCTTCGTAGATGGAAAGGAGTTCTTCAGATAGTTGCGTGGAATAACCGGTGTATATGTCCCAGATTCCGCCGATCAAGACCGCCGCGGATAAACGGGGTTCGAAAGCCGCAGCACGAGCGGCGAAATAGCCGCCGATGGAATTACCAACTAGGACAAGGCGATTTTCGTCCACGACCTGCTTCTTCTCCGAGAGAACATAGTCCACGACAGGGGTGACGACACGTTCCCACTCGGGAATGAAGCCGAGGTCTTGAGTTCGGCGAACGGTATTCTGACCCGGACCCTCGTAGGTGATGCAGTTCCAGCCGCGATCAAGAGCGGCCGCACAGTAGTAGTGGTATGAGTCCTCCTGCGCAGCATCAAGGCCATTACCAACTATCATCGTAGGCAGCTTTGCATCTGGGTCCTGGGAAGCCGAGTACCAGATCGCCTCAACAGTGAAATTGTGCTCGGCGGAGGGGATTTGGACACGCTTTCCAGGGATAGGCAAAGCAGCAATTCCCTTGTCGAAAGCCGCAGTCTGCTCGTCCCATACAGTCTTGACGAGAGGGTTGCTCCAGTTGCGATGGATATAGACATCCGCTCGGCGGTAGTACTGAGATGCAGAGAACCACGAATCTCTCACGTTGATGGGGTCGTAGGCATTCTCGGGGTCCTCGGCCTGAGCCTTGGTCGCGTTGGCAAGTCTGTAGAACTCCTCGTGGAAGGAGTCAAAGTCTCCAGGCTTGATGTTCTTGATAGCGCCTAAGACAGGAGCAATGTCGGATCCGCCAGACAGCGAGTTCTGGAGGGCGCTAAGGTATTCGAAGTTGAAGGCGGTGTCGTTACCCAGTTGAAATGTAGGCGGGTCGTCATCGGTTTTGTTGGTGGCTCCGGCGGCAGGACGGGAGTGCGCCAATGCCAATGCCACGAGAAGGGGGCCGGTGTAAGTGGAGAATTTCATGTTTGGTGAAAGTAACGCGACAGTAAAGAGATGCTTGGAGAAGGTGATGATGGTGACCAAGGTTCGTTTGATTTGGGTTTGGAATGAGGATCTATGTTTCTTCTTTCATCGCGGGCTTTGACGTTATACTTATACTTGACTTTCCTCCGGAATGTTGACGGCACTCCCAGCGGACAGCGCCATTGTGCGTCCGCGATATCCATTCCGATCAGCATGAGCCCGGCCTAATCGGGTATGAGTACATCCTTTGAGGCGGGCACCCATGATTGGCTTACACCTTCAAGGCTACAACCAAGGAAACGTGGGCAGCCCCATGTAAGATGATCTACGAATCTTCATAATACCCACTTCGTATTTCGTCAATTATACGAAGACACGCCGGAAAGTAGCCAAACTTCCGCAGGGCCAATCCGGAAATTGATGAGTAACTGACTGTCTAAAAGATGCCATCGGAGTTTTTTTTTTTTTTTTTTTTTTTTTTTTTTTTTGGGCACCCAAAATATTCCGTACGCAGGATGACGTGGCTGCAGTAATAAGGGGTGACGACACCCGCTACTGTTAGACTCGAACCTATTCGTTCAACTTGGGCTTTCCGATACTCCCAAATACCCTTCGAACCCGTCTTACGTTGCAGCAGGACTTGTTTGCTTTTCTCCCCTTTCTTTTTCTGGCGTTGCGTCTCCACTGGCGGTCATAGTTGCACACGGTGTTCTTCGGGAAGGACATCAATGTCCAAGAGCTCGGAAAGCTTTTCAGTGCCATGACTTTAGAAGATAATGTAATCCAAAGACAGAAATATCGAGGCTGCCAGTCAGCCCATCTTGCGCATTGATTTCACGCAGACTATCACGGCCATCAATACAATGAGCATCGACACTGGAGAGCCCAGTCAAGACATACGACCGTGTCACAGCGATTTCCTTGAGACGTCATGGTCACTGCCCGGTAGAGACCAGCCCCCTCTCCAAGACATGGTAGGGCTCGAAAGCCGCTTGTCTACTATCGTAAGGCTAGATGCGATAGGTTTTTTTCAGGAACAACCGCGAAAAGTGCATGGACAAATGGCTATCATTGGTCCAAATGACTACGTTCCCGCGCACGATCGCCAGCTCTGACCCACGCTTGTTGGAGGCTTTTACGTCTCTAGAGAGTGTGATTGCGGGGAGCCAGGTCACCCACACGCTTGCAAGATTTGCGCATTTTCGTCTAGTACAACTTATCGATTTTCCGAAGAATGTTATATAGTCTAAAAGGGAAAAGGGACAGCTTCACAGAGAGCGCGGCCGCAGGAATGCGAGTTACGCCCTCGATATCTATCAGAGCGCTCAGAAACACCCTCTCACAGAGAAAAGGAAGCTGATTGACCGAATAGGCCTTAGCAGACGATGGACAGTATTAGCTGGACCTTCGCCGTTCTTCCTGATGATTTACTCGGGTATAGCTCAAGCTGTTGTGTAAGTTAATCTCCTCACCTGAGGTTTGTCAATGCTAACAACCACAAAGAAACCATTTCAAAAGAATAAAAGAAGAAGAAGTATCCACCTTAGCAGCTAGCGCGCGCAAAGGCCTTCCTGCACAGCTCTATGATGCCTGCCTTCACCTCACTGACAAAGCAGAATTAATCATCGGGTATCCCACGACCGACTAATGAGGGCAATTGAGGGCAATTGTGGAGATAACAGGACTGCGCGTTGTGCACAGGTGTATAAAGCACACTAATGAGAGCATTGAGACACTGAAAAGCCCCCATTGAATTGCCACACTGAAATATCATACTGAAATATCACATCGAAAAGCAGGATGCCGTCCGTTTGTGTGGGGCGAGCAAGACGATACGCAATGTTCATTTGCTGTAGGAACCAGCAGCAGAAGCGGGGACACTGGACCACGACCTTTTGTATGTCTTCTCGAATTCAATCAGGCAATCTTGTATAAAACTCGGAATTTAACGTAATCCTTGCTCCCCATGCTGACGAGAGAGACCCGTTGTTGACTAGCATTCTGAACGGACCAGTAGCCCCTCGCGTATAAGCAGCGTTATTGTAATTGGTTCAGTGCCCTGAAAGGAAGTTAGTAAGAATATACTCGACCGGTGTCTTCCCCGGTTTGTCGGAGGGCATGCTCGGCAGGTACCTGTATTTGTGTGGGTCCGTCCACGGTGCGTCGGCGTCGAGAGGCCCAGGACCGGCTAATCTGCCGACAGCTCGGAATAGGATCCGACGGCGGCCTGGCTCTATCGCCGCACACGAATCGTCGTCCAGGAATAACTGCATCTTCGCTCGGTACTTCTTCGGACCCGGGGGGGGGGGGGGGGGGGGGGGGGGGGGGGGGTTGGCATCAGAAATAGCCGAAGAGTTGATAGAGCTGTTTAATAATAGAAGACACCCGGTTCCAATATAATACAGTAATATTAAGATAACCCTAGAAGTATAAAAGTGACTGGCTGCTATGGACAACTAAAGGACCTAGTTGCAAACTTAGGCAAATATCTTCAGCTAAGAGGCGCATAAATTTAGGTTTTTAGGATGACACCGAGGCTCTCCAGCTCACCTACCCACTCTTTCATACAGAGAAGCTTAGCATCGGTCATATCCCGTCTCCAGTGCAGCATTTCCACCTTCCCATGACCGCCTACCCCACAGCCGTCTAGCGGGAGCGGACACTCGGCACCTTCGGGC